TTATATTCAAGAATACCGCACATCTAGTAAACACTCGAGCATTCACGAACCTTCGAGAATATTATGACGTTTTACTAGGTCACGTGACTTCCGCTGTCGTAACAATATTATTCAGGATGAAATTGTCCAGTATACGGTCAGTATATATACACACACATATATATAAATCTTCTTTCTATACCATATTGACAAATACTTATTAAACATTGTTTTTAAATAATATCCAAAATATTATTAAAATAGAAAATTTTCTACCAGCTCATCCTTTATATATTTGCAGTGCGTACAAATATTTCTTCTAACTTTACAATGAAACACCTTCTTATATTTTCTTCGTTTCTCAAAGCTTATGTGTACCCAGGATCAGAGCCACAGGGCTCAGCACTAGATATATTATCCTCTAGTGGGTTAAATCAGAACTTACTAACTGCAGGAATGACATCATTTATTTAAACTGTCGTTCGCAGGTACAGATACAGAATTTCGCGTACGAAACGTTATTGTGTATACTGTATTGTAAACAGATGTAAGCAAATTAGTTTATTACTGTTTGTAAGGGTGTTAAAATATATAAACTTTGACTAGTCATTGTTTGATTCAAAAATTAAGGATGTCAGGGTTCGATAGTAATCCTTTTGCTGATCCACAACCAAATCCATTTGCTGTAAGTATTTAAACTTTAAAGTTTGATTCGACTCTTGATTAGTTAAATTATACTATTATTAGTAAGTGCTTAAAATAACAAGAATTGAATACACAAGTCTAGAGTACATAGATTTGTAATTTCATTTAAATGAAACATAAGTTATGATCTCACTATAATGGTTAGGCGTACTGTTTTCTTAGAAACTAAGAAAGGACGTTGAATTGTTAAAAAAGGCTGCTAGTGCTACGAAGTTGTAGTGCTAGGATTTGAAAGACTGTCATACGACAATAGGTTAACATCTCTTAAGTTAAAGCTATTTTCTCTTGAAAAAGAAGAGTTGGCTCTTAACTTTAAATTTTGTTAATCTTAGTGGATTTGAGTGAGGTGTTTGACTTTAAAGTTTAAGAATATTAAGGGACTAGTGATACTATCACTGATAGTGTTGATGAATCATCGTTTTGCATATTTATTAGTGAGAATGTTACGCCTAGGGCACAGATATAAATTTTGGTAGGTTAGGAGTCAACTTCTGTTAATACAGTATTATTTTTCTCACAACAGGGTGATTGACATATGAAATATTTTGCCTTCAGATGTGGTGAAGTGCACTTAACTGAAGAGAGTTTAAGGGAAGGCTTGATAAATATTTAAAATTGAATAATAATGGTTGGCTTTCAGTGTTTTGCTTTTATTTTAGAATTTAGTATGGTGGATGGGATGGCCTTGAAATTATTCATATATGTAAATTGGAACAAGCTAATTACTTATATTTATAACTTGGGTTACATCATTTGGGATAAGCAAAGTAATTTACAAACTTAGTAACTCTTGAGATAACAAAAATGAGATCTCTGCAATAATACTTATTCTTAGTGGCTCTTATTCTTAGGCAAGCTGCACCTTAAATTACTTGCAAGTTTGATAATCACATGTACTAATTGCCCAATTTTCAAGCCATGAGAAAACATTTACAATTGGTAAATAGTGAAATTGTAAGAAATTAATTATTTTTAATTCAAGGTATTCGTGTCCCTAAAAAAAAGGGGGGGGGGGTGATAATGAAATGATTAATTGGGGATACCATAATTTACTAAATACAATATGCTCCCAAATATAATATACACTATAATCTTTGATTTATTACCATAAGTAATATGCACCTAGACTTTTGCAATATCACAGTCAAAGTACCCCTTTGAAGACAAGGATGTTAGTGTCATATAATATCTAATTGGGTATTTGCCACAGTGCTTGCTATCTTTGCAATCACAGCTGCCAAGTAAACATTATCCGGTTGTTAGAGTATCTCTAAAATCACTAAAAATTAATTCACCTTAGCACTTGCTATCTAGAAAGTTGTGCTAACTATTCAAGGACAATGATTTGCACACAGAATTTGAAGGTTTTGCCAAACACGATTTGTAGTTTTCAATGTCAAACATAATGTAGCAAGAATTAGTTTTGTTTTTCCAAACATTTCTAAGTGTGCATGTAAATAAATCTTAAAAATCACAAGAATTAACATCTTAATCATTTTATTTCAAAACTTATGTTTAAAGATACTGAAAATGAATGAAAATGGGAGACAATTCTTATTTATGCCTTAGAAATGGAAAGATTTAATAAGACACCACCGAAATACAATGTTTCTACTAAGTAGAAAAAGACAGTCTGGACATGCTGCAAAAATTAAACAATTTAGAATTATTACTGTGTGTTATATGCACCCTAACTTGATAAATTTTTAGTGAACAAAATGTATATTATATTCAGAAAATTATGGTAAATGCTGTAAGTTTTAAGTTTAAATTGACATATATGTTGGAATACTTACAGAACTTTCGGAAAGCTAGGGATTTTGATTAAACAAGAAATCAGGAAATCCAAAAGGGCATATGAGAAACCATTATCTGATATTAAAACTTACAAAAAAGGACTTAAGTATATTAAAGATAAGTAAAATGTTAAAATCAGGATAGGGCATTTAAGGTAATGTTTATTAAGATTTTTCTGTATATTATCACATAGGACCCTGCAGTTACCCGGGTAACAAGTCAAACTGACAAGAATCGGTCAGGTTTGGATGACTACAACCCATTTACTAGTCAGTCGCATGGGATCAATCCAGTAAGTTTCTGATACTGTGGTTTTGCTGGTCACTCGTATTATGTAACTTGGCAGCGAGTGTTTTACTAACAAAAAATCCTTTTAGTAGCTCACACATACTTTACCTTTATTCGTGTTTATTTTGTACAACAATGTCTGATTTTGGCATAAATATAACACTGGGATATACCTCACAGAATTTTAAGTTAGACATTTGAATATTAGTAAATTTTTAGAAAACATACAATGTTTTTAAAGGCATCCTCTTTGCATAATAAAATGGTTTTCTTGCTACACTTTGTGGCTTTGAGAATGTGATTGGTAACGACACTCACAGGACTTGTTCACTGTGTTAGTAGTCTTTAGTTTTCTGTAAGTCCACTTTCACTCATTGCTGTAATATTTATTGATTAGCCATCTGAAAAAAATATTTCAGTGAGTGTAAATGCATTAGTGCATAATGCAAGCATGGCACAGAAAGAAATGTCCATAAAAAATTATGATTTATCTATTTAGGTAAATACAGATATGTATATAGTTGTGTGTGTATAATGTGTGATTAGCCTTCATTTCTTTTAATTCTAATTTGTTGCTTAGTTGAAACTTGGAATATAGCCAAAAATTGATTATAAGATAAGGAGTTTGGTTTAATTATCTTTACATATTAACATCTTTATTATTTACACAAAGTATACATATTTGAGATCTGTCAAGTAGCTTTGAGAATATTTGTGAAAATATCTGGAGGGGGGGGCTCTTTTTGCTTTTTATGAAAACATAATATTTTTTGATTCTCATTTTTCAATCTTTATATAAATAATACATTAAATTTGTAAGTTTTAATGTTAAGGGAATTAATAAGATTAATACATCAAGGGGTTTTATGTTGATTTCTGAAGGCAGTGGAAGAAAGACCATAACTTCAATATTTTGAAAGGTCTGGCACATCTCAAAGTGAGGCAATTTTGTTTTTCCAGTAGTGATAAATCTGTGAAACAAATTACCATAGAGTGACAGAGGCTGCAACTTTTCAAGAGTTTAAAAGAAGGCTGGATTTAGTGATTTCTTTCCTGTTGTTGTGGGAATTTGAAAAGTCAGAATAACCTTGATGGACCAAAAAGACTTTTTAATCCCATAATTTATAATAATATTTTACAACATTTAGTGCCAAAAATATTTATGAATTACTTTTCCTATTGGTAAATGTATTTTTTTTAGCCTAACAAGCAATATAATTTGAAAACAAAATATTTAGATCAAAACATTTTTCCTATTTTTTAACAGCCTTCTCAAGTGGGAATAAGCCCCCCTCACTATCAGCCAGAGGTGGTGAAACCTGAGCCTCCCAACCAATCAGCAGTGATGCAACCTGTGATTGAACCTCCTCCTGCTTACTCTCCTTCTTCAGCTCCAACCATCAACACTCAGGAGCTTCAGAGGAGGCAAGAGGTTAGTACATTTCAAGTTCCTATTATTATTTTATTTATATTCTGAATACTTAAAGTAGTTCTGTGTATTCTAATTTGTATAGAAATGACAGCATGTAATGGTAATAAGTTTATGAATTTACATTATATATGCCAGCTAAAATGCCGCCACATGGGCGGCTGTTTGTTGTAGTAATTACGAATTGTAGTATTCATATTTCATTGAAAAAAGTTTAGAAAAAGTGAACATTTTCTAAAGAGTTTTTTTTTCTGGGAAGTACTGCATGGAAAAATTGTTTGAATTGTGCTCTTTAGTCATACACAACTCATTGCATCAAAATGATTCAATGTACAGAGCTCAATTTTCATAACTTTTAAAAACTCTAATGTTTTTATATATTAAAAGTGGTGCCATTTATTGAAAAAATAATAGTTTTTTAAGAGCTCAAGTTTATCAGCTACATTTAAAAATTACATCACTAAAGATATAATCAAACCCTCACGTACAGTACAAGTGAAAGTTGTGTTCTTGTTGTGAGGAGAGTGCTTTTATTTAAAATAGTTCTATTTTAAATAAATAGTTGTTGCACATACCACAGTAATTTTTGTAATTGTCTGAATCTTGAATACCCAAAGTGTGAAATTTTTTATGGATTTTTGTTTGTAATGCCATTCAGTAGGTGGTTCAGGAGTTTTGGTTACATACATAGATACTGACATACATGCTACATTCATTATAGAAAGAAGATTTATCTATTTTAACTTTATTTGCTTTAGGAGTGTTTTTAACTCCTTTTTTGTATAAGTACCATGACATTGTTCTCTCTGTCACTGAAGTAGATGTAATTAGTCAATAAATTTGAACATTTTCTTTTGTTTACATTGTGATTTATCAACTTATGTGGCTTGGTATAGTAAAACCATATTTCATTACATGTGAATGAGCCAGAGAATGGGTACTAAGCTCATACTTCTGGCTGTATGATGGGAATATGTGGTCCTTAGATATATATTTGTGATTGAGCTCCTCTAGGGAAAACTGTTAGTATAAAAGGTGTTTGTGTGTGTGTAGGTGAGATGTACTTAGCCAGTAGGCGGTCAATTTTCCTGGCACTTAACCCGTTACCTGCTGTGGCCATTTTGTCTTATCGTGATAGCAAAATCACATTTGTGAATTGAAAAAATTATAGAGAACTAATCTTTTATTGGATTTCAGATTTTATTTTTGTAAATGGTAGCATAACATTCAATTATTTGTACAAAATTGCATTATTTAATGAAGTTTAAAGAGAAATATAATAAAAAAAAAAAAATCCCAAAATATGTTTGAGACTATAAATAAGCACCCTCTGAGAAGAAAATTTTTAATTGTTAATTTCTGAATAAAATGGAGGGAGGTTTTTAAAGAATACAGTTATCTAGTTATAAATTAAAAACATAATACAACGTAAAAAATAAAATGGTAACTCTTAAGTTGCTAAAGAGTTGGCAGTGGCTGACAGCCATAGTAACTTGGCCATAAGAAAGACAGTACTAGCAAGTTTGGTTGTAATGGAATCAAACACGAGACCATTGAAGATGAGGCACCAGGCCATGCTGACCCAAAGCTTGAAGTAGGAAAAAAAAAATTATAATGCTAAAATTGGCTTTTGATACCCCTAGTAGGCAAGGAACAAACCATCCATTATCTACCTTTGTAATTAACAACAAACAAACATAATGGCAATATTTTGAACACTTGAATTAGTGAAATAATAAAAAAATAATGATAATCTGTAATCATAATTTTGATTGTTGGCATAATAAGAATCTAGTTTGTTATTCCAGTAGCAATTGATTTAATCATAATTTTCACTAGTCAATTAGTTTATGTAACATTAATCAGTGCTTGATACTTGTAGGTAATCACTTAAATCCCTCGGCTCTAGTCATGTTTCTTGCTGTATTTACTTTTGTTGGTTTTGAATGCAAGTAAAAATTATGGTAGCAAACTGTGTGATAGGATGTGTCTGGTAGGCTGCTATAGACCTTTAGTGTGTCACATTTGTGGGTTTTGTTAATTAATAATTAGCTTAAAAGTGTTGACTTTTCTGATTCACACAAGGGGATCCAGCAGAAAGTTAAAATAAAATGTGGGTTCCCACAGAGAGATAATGATAACCTGCAGGTAGCAAATATTCTATGGTGAAATGCATTAGAGGAGGGAAAAAGATAAAGAAATAATGTATATGTTAGATATTGTGTTGAGGGAAATAGTTAGACGTATTCATTACCCGAGACATTAATATTATCAAGTAACACAAACTACACTAAATGGGTTAGGAATAAAATATAAAATTGCATAATATAGAGTACAAAATTAAAAAATTCCTTTTATGACAAAACACAATGCAGTTGGTGGTACATAAACAATTCTGCATAACTATGAACTATGTCTGACACTACACAAACATGTTATTGTTATTAAAATTTTATTCCTTACTGAAGATATTTCTTAGATAATTGCTGTATTAGTGTGTGTGTGTGCGTATATTCCCCTCCCAATAATGACTTCCTTTTAAATACAACTTTTTTTTCTGTGCATGGAATGATTTTACATTGATCTGACTTCCTGACAGATGCGACATACAACCGTGATTTTTGGGCAGAAGGTCGATTGACGACCTCTCTAAGAATTTTCTTCATATCAGTAATGTAATTTACAGAGGCACATTAATAGGGTGTATCCAGTATGGAACAAAGAGGTCACATGACCAGAAATTGCTTCACAGCTTAGTATATATATCTTGCTACCCTGGGGTGCACAAATCAAACTCCTTGGTACATACACGTAGGTATTTTGGTTTTAAAACTTTCAGGTGTTGAAAGGTAACAAGGGGAGGTCAGAAACTGTTTTGTTATCGCCCCACTCGCACATTTTAGGTTTATTCTTTTAGTGAATGTAGTAGATTTTGAGCTAGTGTCTTGATTAGGATTTACTAGCAGGGGTGTGAAGATTATTAACTCGTGGTTCGTTTAATGACAGAGTCAACTAATCTGTGGGTAAGCATGGCTAATGAAATGCCTCAAGGCATCCTGAAAAGCTGCAAATGTCTAAAGCTGAGAACAGGTAGTTGCTGTGAAGAAGAAAGCTTGAAGTGTTGATATAGACCAAAGTTGTGACGAAAACAACAAAATGAATGAAGCATGAAAATTAGAGAATTTTTAGTCATCTTGAAATTGTTTTTATGCAACATATTACATTTGATGTAGTATTTGTATTCAGAGAGGATTACTTTATTAGGTATTGGCTAGAGTCTAGCAATTATTTAGTTCAGATATTTATTCTTATTTCTTTACTGGTTCTTTTAAATTCACAGAATGGTCCCTTTTCAGAGCTGTGGTCAAAGGATCCAAGTTTCAATGTGAAATTTTGGTTTAGGATGGGGCTGTTTTGTTCAATTAAGATATGTAGCTTCTGATGTTTGGTTTTTGGTTTAAAATTACAGCATTTTATAAAGATGTAATGACTGCCAGACTCGTGAACATTCAAAGTGACTCCATTAAATGTGCAAGACAAACAAAGACGGAAGATTTTTTATGAAATAAATTTTGTGGCACTTTGTAATATTTTATATACTGTATATATAATAAAAATGTGATATGTGGATGTTTAAGAAGTAAGTCTGATCGATGATTAAATTATTTTACATAAAACAAAACAATTTTAAATTATCTTTATTGAACTGTTATCCATCATAACTATTATACAGTGTACCAACTTGCTACATTATCTGAGTACCTATACAGTATATAAGCCATTATGCTCAACCTCTGGGAATAGTAACTGGCACAGCTTGAACTTGGTTGTTCATTATCTGGTTATTGATCCTTTGAGTTATGACTTCTTGTCAGATGTAACTTTTTTTATCATGGCAGATTATCAGTCCTTGTTGTCTACATTAAGTCATACCAGATAATGTCTGTAGTCATAACACTCAAATGCGTTAGGGATATTCCATCCATCAGACAAAATCCAGATGCTGATGTTAAACTAGTCAGCAGTTATTGAAAATTAGTTAAATCTTGGAAGTTGAGTGTTTTCTCCCTAATGTCTCAACTCCTACTGCCTTTTGCTGTCTTCAGCCAGTTGTGGGAAGGTAGTTACTCCTAGTACTCATACATAACCTTAAAGTAGAAATAATACTGCCCTAAAAATTCTACAAGGTAAAACTCCCAACCTCCACCCTTTTATTTACAAATGTAAACATATGGTTGAAAACAGATTTTTAGAAAGCAAATATTTTTTAAAGGTTAGCACAACCTCTGCACTTGTGTTTGGTGGAATTATCTATCAGCATGGCATACTGTCTCTCAAGCAGACTAATAAGCTTAGAGGAGGACCAGTAAAATTACCAATCTACTGGTCCACAGTACTAACAACTTAGAGACTTTCACACTTTTTTTTACTTGTCTCACTACTGTTGTGTTTACTTAATGTATTCAGCTTATATTAGTTTTTATGTAATTTTTTATGTTTTGCTCACTGGTTTCTACAGAGGTATAATTGAACATTAACACACTACAAGTACTTTTCTTCTCGTATTAACATTATATTATTGGACCTTCGACCGTTGGCAAGTTAGACTCAATATTTGAATATTTGTTTTCAGAGAGAATCTACATTGAAAGTAAAATTATTACGAGTAATTTGTATATTACTCTGTAATTGTAAAATATATATTCAATGAATTTAAAGTTTTTGCAGAAGTTTATTTTTCTTTCTTGCTTTGAATTATAGAGTATAAAATGTCAAATTATATAACAACTTTTATGCGCAACAATGAAATAACTTTCATATACATATGCGTAAATTAAAAAATATATGTGTGATTGTCAATTATGTGTTATATTTGTATATATATATATAATCTTTTTGTGGTTTTAGTTTCTTAAAAGTGTCTATATATTTTACATTTTTATTTTATTCCAATAATTCTGAACATGCTTTTTGGTGATGTTAGGAATTAGAAAAGAAAGCAGCTGAGCTGCAAGCTAAAGAAGAAGCATTAAGTAACACACCCTATAATGGTATGTCGCTCTTTGGTCTTTGTCTATCACTACAGAATTACCAGAAATTAAACTACGTAAGTGATGTTTTTATAGAAATATTATGTTTTTCAAGAATTTTATGCATTTTTCTTTCAAGACAGGGTTTCAATTACTGTGGAAACTTTGCTTGATTGGAATGTACTTTCTTAGTAATTAATCAGAGGTTCTTAACCTCACAATATACAAATCACTGTATAATAGCAACTGTCTTATTTGTAAGAGCAATGTTGTTAATGAGAGAGACAATTTTCAGTGGAATTGGGAAAAAAAGATTCCATTAATGTGGAAGAACTTTTCAGACAACTAAAGGACGTGAGCAAATTATATTAAGTATGAGAATTGAAAGCAGTTATCCTGTTTGTCTAGCTAGATGAAAAGTAAAGAATCTTGAAACTAAATCTTTTGGGAGTTTCAATGTACATGTAGTTGTGCTTAGTACAAAAGATGTGTAAATATACATTTAACAATCAGTGACTGCCATTATAATATTTTCATTTGATTGTTTTACTAAGCCATGGATAGCAGATTAAACTGGATAGGTGTTCTTGATGTGTTAGTAATTTCATTTTAATACGATTATCAGATGAAGACTGGAAGCTTGGGTTGAATAAGTTGGCATTGGTTATAGAACTTTCAGTCAAAAAAATTGTAGAAAAGATAGAATAATTTGGGTGCCTCCAAAAAGGTGTAATTTTTGAGACATTAACTTGTTTTGTCTTCTTTAACCTTCTGTACATTATATTACATTATGAACATTCTTGTAACTAACTAAAATTAAGACCAACATTACAAAAATATATATACATTATATAATATAGGAAGTATAGTTGTGTTAGTAGACATTCAATCCAGATTTTATCAGTATATGTATGCTTGTGTTGATTATTTCATTGAATGCTGAAAATGGTAACCTGTATCATATCTTACTTTTGGTTGCATAACTTTATGGATCCTCTATATATACAATGTCAAACTTAAAAATAATGTACCCTTGAACTTCTTGGCAGTCTGAGTAATCCCCTCTTATAATCCTTTTGTGCAAAATAGTACTTCATGTAAAAACTTTAAGATTAGAAAACAATATATTGATAATTTCAATCGTCCATGTTACTTTCAAATTGAAAATTTAATTATTTATATTCTTAAGAAATTCCAACATTTCATACCACTAAATTCTGTAATCATCTAGGTCTAAACTTAACACATATTCTGAAAACTTCCTCGTATTCTGGTATATTTGTATGTTGTTATTCTCAAAGTTTGCTAAATAATTAAAGTAGAAAAATATCTACTTTGAGGTAGAACTAAATGAATAACTTGACTAATTGATTGTCTAGATCATTTAATGTCATGTAATATAATCCATTAATCAAATTTTAATGTTTACTGTTATTGATGTTTCAATTATTCCAACTATTTAAGTAACAAAAATATTACCATTCTGACTTCTAATTGTAATTATAGATTAATTAAAGGTTGTTCAGCTTAATTTAATAGGTTCTATATAAATCACTGATAAATGTAAGATGGGAAAGTTAGTTTCACAGTGAAAGTGTTACTTGTAGTTGAAAATGCATGATAAATTATTTAAAAAAAAAAAAAGAGAGAAAATATTGAATTTTT